CCGCCCGGTATCATTCCCTTCATTGTATACTTTCTTTTTATTGCTGCCTGGGCGACACACCCGACTTCGTCGTGAGTTGCGCCTTTAACCTATTTTACCAGCTGTCCTCCCTATTCTGTATATTTGTGCTTTGCTGCTTTGTTGTGTTGGTGCACTACCTGAATAACCTATGATTTATCTTACCCCTAAATTGTGTGATTTGGTTTGCCTATTCTCTATCCCTTATTTTGGTTTCACGGAACAGGAACCATAGAAAGTAAAAATAGAAAATGAAAATAGGAAATACCAAAAAGGGGGTGGAGCGGCTCAGGCGTGACTGCCGAGGCTAAATACTTAATAGTACGTTAAGGAGCGGGCTAGGGGGGCGAGGCTGGCAAGCAGTGGCTGCAGGTGGTGGGTGGCTGTGGTGGTGGGTCATCGGGGGGCATGAGCGAGCAGGGCAAAAAACGGGGGGGGGAGGGAAGGGGGGTGCATGGATGGAAAACCAGGAAGGCAAGGACAGCATATAGATAAGTGGTGGCATGCCATTATGTTATTCGTGGCATATGGTACTGTACATTAACTTGCTTCTTGGTTTTGGGTCCGGTCCCACGCAATACCATGACACTTTGTCGACGTTCGCAATTTTCAATGCTACTTTTGTTTTGTTCGACGTGATATTATATTGTTCATTTACTGCAGGGAGGAGGTTGGGTGTACAGGACGTCAGCTACTGATGTAATACAATTCATCGATGATGCATTCCAGTGCACGCGTTCACGTTGCGGTGTCCCGGACGTTGATCGCGCGTGGGAAGTAAGTCGGGTCGTCCAAACGTATTACTTCAGAAGAGCAAGAGCCATACAGAGAAGGGGGTTGTTACACTGCTGCAACACACGACGAAGTCGGGTGTTGTCGCCACGGCTACCTTGAAAGAAGGGTGCAATCTCAAACATGTCATCCTTCTTCTATCTGTCTTTCTGCCGAGGTATCGCAGCTCCCGCTGACTTAATTTTCTCACTATCATACATATGATACAGTAGGCGACACGGAGAAGGCTGGCGACGAAGCAAACAAATATCAGAAACTAGACTAGTGCATATTGAAAAAACAATGCGTCCTACTAGCTAGAGTACTCGTACGGCAAAGGTAGCAGTCGTACCTTGTACCGGTGACACAGGAATCGAATCCTTCTGGGAGTTGCAGGAAACCACATTCCACGGCGGTCCAAGTTGATTTGCGCTCCGCCGTGCGAGATAATGAGATGACACTGGCCATGGCATTTGACCGACCGCGGCACTCTCTGACTTCGTGAGGAACCTTTCATTGGCGCACCTCGCCCTGAGCTTACTTACAGAAACATTGCGATTGTTGTGGGTGCAAAAAGTTCCCAAGACAGCTTCGGACTTTGGTGCTGGTGTGTTAGTCCATGGAGGATCAATCAGGTTGCTTAGAACTCAGAGCATTCATTGATTGAGAGTTGATGACAAAGGCCCACAATGTCTGTTACCAACGGCCATGGAAGTAGACCAGCGAGTAGCAGGACGTTGAAGCCACCATCCAAAAATCCGTCTGGGTCAACCAATATTAATGGTTGCACCAATTCCAAAGGCCTGGCGGCGTTGTTGGGGGGTCTGGTCATTTTCACAGTGTTTATCGATGTCTACTTCTTGACGTCCAAGAATTTGAGTTTGTCCAAGTTCAACATTCGCCATCGACAGCGACACATGGGAGGATACGATAAAGCCGGCAAACACAATCCCTCATATCTGTCCAAAATGACATGGGAATCCAAGCGGAAATTTGCCTTTCAAGACGAAAACAATCAACACAAATTGCCCGTATTGAAGACACGAAACAAGGAAACAGTTTCCTCAAAACAAGAATTCGGTCGAGCTCCCGTTTTGAAGGTATTCGAACAAGCTGGGATACCCCCATTGAACAACACTATTATTGAGACGCTGCCCACCTGGGATCAGATTGTGCGCGTCATTGGACCCAAACCAGTCATTGGGGGATTGGATACATGCGAAGCATTCAAACAATCGGTACCAGCCGTGGAACGCATGTTGGGGAGCAGTGGCATGTTCAATACTGGCACAAACCTAGTCACTCATTTACTCAAGAACAATTGTAAGATACCCGAGAGAGTTGAAAAGTATGGTATTGATGCATCCAGAGAAGCTCATGGGTAAGTCGAAAAATGTATCAATATCATCCTTTACTGGCAAGCCCATAATCCACTCAATTTTCGGCAGCATGCGATGGCAGGTACGTCGAAGAAAAAAGAATTGTGCATTGCATACTCTCTCAGCTGAATTCTTGGATTTTCCCCAATTGACTCCACCCATGCATTTTCCCCCCTTTACATGTGATAGGTACCATGGGGCAAGCATTCCCCGGCAAAATACAAGGAGGAACACTCCACAGAAAAGGCAAAAGCAATAAACAAAGAGTGGATCATGCCTGTAGTGACGATCCGGCATCCATACAGTTGGATGCACAGCATGGTAAGGAAGTTCAGGCATTAAAAATCAATCTGCTTATCGTTTGGGGGAACAGCTTCACTGACGGTGTTTTCTGCCTTGTAGTGCAAAAATGTGAGTATCCGGTCAGACAACGCATACTGGTAGCCTTGACGTTATGATGATGAAATCAGAATGAGAAACTCAATCTACTACGACTTGATATTATTGGCTGCCGCTTTAGGGATACACTGCAAAATGGCGCCACGGCTTTAAGGGGCAAAATTGTCCCAACCTCAAACCACGTGGGCAATGGAACGAAGTGACCACAAAATTTGCCAATGGCCGTACCGAATACTCGGATTCACTGGCCCATCTTTGGAATGATTGGTACAAAATGTACATTGAGGATGCGAAATACCCGAGGTTGATTGTCCGTTTGGAAGACTTGATGTTCCATGCCGAAGAGACGACAACCCAGATCTGCACCTGTGTAGGAGGCGAAATTCGCACCGATCGAAACTTTACCTACATTTTGGACTCTGCCAAGGCAGACTCTCCAGGCCATGACAAATCGACTGGTTTCATCCAAGCATGGATCAAGTACTCCAAACCCATGCCACCACGAGGAAACTTTCGACCAAAAGACTATGAAGCTGCCAAGGAGGCCTTGAATGAAGATTACATGCATATGTTTCACTACGACCATCCGCCACCAGGTGACGAGAAAGATGCAAGATGACTTCATGAGAATGAATGGTACTCTGTGAAGCATAGCAAAGAAACAGGGAAAGCAATCCCGATCTCGTCTGTCAATTTGAATTGACCCATCACACAACAGAAAGGAGGGAAGGCAATCATCAGCTCCGTTCTTTCCCTGCCTCTTTGCTATGCAATGAACGAGTAGGACAGCAGGAAAGGTCACGTAAAATCCTCCTGCCAACATACATGTACGGTACTAGTACACGGGAAGAATAGAGCTGCAGCTTTGCTGTATCCTTTTTGAAGCTGGCGCTGCTTGGTTACCTGTGCCCCGCTGCTGGCTCCTGCAATTCAGCCAATTGCACCCCTGGAGAGCGAAAGTAGAGAAAGATGTGCAACAGTTGAGTTCCCATTAGCAAAGGATGTGGTTGCTTCTGCTTTGTATTGCATTGCAGTCCGTTGAAAACGTTGTACGTAGAGAAGAGACAGACGGATTCGATTCATCAGCTAGACTAGACTAGACTAGACTAGCTAGAGCTACCAAACGGCACACCCTTTTCTGTGAGCTTCCTACAGCAACTTGACGTTGTGCAGTGGGGCGCAGCGTACTCTATGGTAGCTTGGCATTTTTTGCACTGTAGGATACATTCGTTTTTAATACATAAATCGTTCAATACGCTTACACTGCACTCCTTTTCACACACAAGCGACACCTTCCTTTCACAACCTTGTTCCTTTTTCTTGTTGTCCTGACTGACTGAGGCAAACTTCACTTAATCCTTTTCTTTTCGATCTACCTACCACGTCTTGCCCTTTCCATACCCACTCTTTTTGAGACTCATATAATAGTCCTTGCATTTCAAGGTCCGTCCCAGAAAGTTTTCCATAAAATTGGGCAATCCCATGTATCCCACGGCAATTTTGGGTCCCAACGCCGTCATCATGGGTTTGTTAATGGGTGTCTTGCTCCATGCAAAATCGGCGAGTGGTTTTTGTTGGAGCATTGCCACGACATTTTTACCCACCGTTTCGGCCGTCATGTCGGCATGTTGGAGTCCCTTGACATCGGCATAGTAGCCTTCCGGGACGGCCAGCACGTCTCCACAGCAAAAGACGGAATCGGTGGAAGCGAGTTGGAGTGTATGACGACAGTTGAATTGACCACGGTCCGTGACATCTTTCTGGAGCGTGTCGTCCGCAATATCTTTTCCTTTGAATGTAAATCCAGCGGCATTTAAAATCAAATCGACGTTTTCGATAGTCGTGCCGCCATCGCGGGTCTTGACCGTGCCGTCGCTGTCCGGTTCCTTGGCATCGACGCGACCTTCCTTGACGACAACACCCATTCCTTCCAATGCCGTCTTGACACGTATCTGCAATACTTCCGGTGAATTGGGCAAGAGTGATCCCACCATGGTGACTTGTAGATCGGGAAAGGCGGCCTTGAGTTCTCCCGCCACTTCGACGCCACTGGGACCCGCGCCCGTCACGACGACGTGTTTCGAGTTGGCAATTTTTTCGCGCAATGTCCGAAACGCAGCAATTCGCGTTTCTCGAGTAGTGAGATCGGGCGTGGGTTTCCAAATCGCCCCCGATGCGTATTGTCCTCCAATAGCAACTACAATGACATCCGCTTCTAGTGTCTTGCCATTGTCCAACGTTACACTTTTCGGTCCGACTTGTGTGACGGCGGCTTGGACAAATGTGGTTTTGTTTTTGCCTTTTTGCAGTCCCACAAATTCACAGACTTTATCGAGTGGCATGCAATAGCCATATTGGTCAATATCGTCGGGCGCCACCAACATGCGCGGCGATGCCAAACTCCAATCCATATAATTTTGACGATCCACAATCGTCACATCCACCGTGGCACCGCACGTCTTGGCAATCGTTGTGGCGACATGCACACCACCGGGTCCTCCACCCACAATAATACAGCTGCCGAGGGATTCTGATGATGGAGCCATTATTGTTTTTTATATTTGATAGATAGTAGTAGATAGAAGAAGAAGACGGTTGTTTGGTGTATCTTTTTGATTATTTGGTTTTGTGAGCGTGGAGTGGTTACAGCATCGTCGCTTCTGGAGAGGCTTCTGGATTTTCAAATTGGATCTTTCGAGCTCGCGGAGTCGAGTCGGAAGGTTCTGGAGAAGTCGGAGAAGATTCTTCGAACGGTATCACGAACTACCGGTACCAGTACTGTCCATTCACCAGTATGGCACACCAGCAATCCTACAGTATGATTGAAAACTAGACCACAGTAGGAGTGAGAATACAGAAGACACTGCTGGTGATGTCGGAGAAGATCTTCGATCTTCAAAGGCTTCCAACGAAATATATCAGCCTGTTTAGCTGTTTGAACACTCAAATGAAGATCCTTCTTTTGTCTCCTCTTCACATCAAAACCCCATCGAAAGAGCACCATCATTTTCCGTTGTTTGTTTGTTTGTTTGTTTGGTCTGTTTGTCTGTCACACACCATGATGATGATGTTTTCGATTGCTTGGATTCTGGTGGTGCTGGTAGTAGCATGGAATAATTTGGATGCCGCTCCTACTCTCTACTTTTATGATGCCGCGGCGACGTGGACGGGGGGATGGCAGCATTCCAGTCTTCAAAACAAGACCATTTGGATCACGGGCGCTTCGTCGGGGTAAGTGACGAGCCGTATCATTGTTGTTACCGTAGTACGGTAGAGCAGAGAGTTGGTTGAGTTGTGATGATCCTTGTGTCGGCTGTTCCATCCGGAAACAATTTACGGTACTGTGCTTTTACATCTATTCACTCTCTCATTTCGTCTTTTTTGATTTCCCATGTCATTTTCTGTTCTACACTGCATACATCACATACATGCAATTGGTACAGCATTGGAGCGTCCATGGTCTGTCAAGCCTTACAGGCAGGTGCCGCCCATGTGATTTTGAGTTCTCGGAAACGCGACAAACTGCTCAATGTGGCGTCCAAATGTCAATCTCTACTGGGATCGAAATATCATCCCGAACACACCAAAATGTCCATTGTCCCCTACGACGCTGCCAACAATAGCACTACCACAATGGAAGCCACCATTGTCGATCGCGTCTGGAAAGCCTGTGGGGACGACCCTTTGGATATGGTCATTCTCAATGCCGGCGTCTATCAAAATCAACCCGCCATGCTCACCACAAAACAAGAACGAGATTACGTCACACGCGTCAATTATCAAGCCCCCGTCGATTTGACGCAAGCGTTGCTCGAAAAGTGGAAAACTCATGACAACCCAAAAGGACACATTGTCGTTGTGGCATCCATCATGGCCCATGGACCTTACGGACTCTCCAGTACTTATGCCGCTTCCAAAGCCGCGTTACGGACCTACTTTTGGTCACTCGCCACGGAAGAATCGCAGTGGTTGACAGTCAATATGGCATGTCCCGCCGCCACCCTGACGGGGTTTTGGAATCCAGTCGCATCGACACTCCACGCGGGAGGATCCGCCATGACGGCCGATCGGGTCGCTCATTTGATTTTGACGGGAATCTCTGGACCCTACGTGTTGTTCTATGAAACATGGATTACCAAAATGCCGGGCATCCTCTGGTTGGGGTTGGCGCACTATACGCCCGGATTGTTTCTCGCCTTTTCGCACTTTTTGGCTTACATAAGAGTCCCCATTTGGTATCACGAACGCATCGATGCCATGGATGTGTCATTGCTAATGACACGGTTTGTACAAATTGTCATGGGACAGTATCCGCCGGTGGTGGTGGAGACGTAGAGCATCGAGGACGCACGAGCGACTATACAAAACAAAACGACAATACGCAATGGAATCGAAAAACGTACGTACCGATTGAGTGAGTCAGTCGGCTCTATTTTTGAAAAATGGCTATGCGTTTTCTGTAAAATGAATGGATGCATACTTGAGATGTACCGGTATGTGATGGCGAGAGTGCATCGATGGTGGCGGAGCTTACTCTAGCTAGGTGGATGTAAATGAAGAGTTTTTCTTGTCACCACATTGTGATATCTTGTTATTAGTGACAGCGTAGCTGGTCACGCAATGGGTCGCTTCGTCGTGCATATTGCATTGGAAGCATATTTGCGATAGCGATCCAGAGTGCATCAATGGTGGCGGGCGGAGCAGTGGCTGGTGGGGCTTACTGGATAAACGGAGATGAAGTGTTTCGCGTTGCCACCACACTCTGATAGTAACTTGCTTGCTTGCTTGTTAGTGTCGGTGTAGCTAGCTCGCCAGTAGTCATTGTGGGATCACAGTGGACCGCTGTTTCGCTTGGTGCATATTGCATTAGAAAGCAAAGCGAAGGAAGCACACTGAAAGCATTCAAATTTCGCTCACTGTACTATCTAGTAGCTCCAACATCAGGCAAGTCTTTTGCCCTACACACGAATGCCACCTCATGTTTGAACCACAATTGATCCATCAGGAACTCGAAGGAGGCAAGAAGCGAAAGACAATTTCCTAACACATCCTGAGGTCAAACCAGAGCTGTCCGCTCTGATTTCCTTTGTTGTACCAACAATTTCACAGTTCAGATCACTGAAGTAAACGATACTAGATGGCTTTTGGCTACTAGCTAGCCAGCTATACGGACCTGCACTACTTGCAGCTCCAGGCTAGATGTAATAGACTACCGGTACGGTACCACCTGGTGGCCAGCGTAACCAGCCATCCAGAGCTCTGCTACTAGCTAGCTAGCTGGTACAGCGTACAGCTACCAGTTGAGTCGAGTCAGCCTTCAGCCTCCCAACTCCGACGCTCGGTCACCTCAGAAAACAGCCTTTTTCCGTGAGACAGCTCCTGAAAGTTTTTAGGTGGCCACCAAAACAGAGTTATTTATTAGGGTCGATTTTGCACACTGTGGAAAGACTTGCGATACGGATGTTCCACTGATTCATGAGGTATTCACCAAACAAAACCCACCAATATTCCAGTATAAATATTCTGTACTGACGGAATGAAACCTTGATTTATTGTAATAACTTGGTAGAAAGCTTCTTCCCAATTATTACGCTGGAAAGAAACAAGCAATTGAAACCCGTCTGTGCCGCTGTGTCGGTGATGAATTATGTGGATGGATCGAATTAACGCTTGGCCCAACCGTCTACCAAACCAATCGCATTGCACACACCGGTAGCTGCACCGGTACATACAGTCGTACCAGTACGATACATGTAGACAAAGAAAAAGAGTAGTCTAAAGACTAAAAAGTGATAAAAAGAAGCAGGAAAGTGTCCAGATGTACCCCCAGTACATGTTGCGGTGGCAGGGGGAAGGTGTGTCGACCAACCCGGTTCCAGCTCTGATCAAAACCTGGGCCTCACAATTTTTCTTTGGCTTGGTTGGTTGATCATAAAACACAAAGCTAGCTAGCCAAAGACTGCAATTGGAATCATGTCTACTGTTGCACTTCCAGTCAACTACGTTGTGTTGGTGCCCAAGGATCATGTCCAAAACCGACTGGACGATGTCAGTGATTTGGATCACTCAATCTCATCCTGCTCCTGGGTTGAACGGCATTCAGTTCACCAACGAAGGACGTGGCCACATGCAAGCAGAAGAGGATATACCGACAAAAACATTCCTCCCCAGCGCGTCAGGAAACTGGATGCTGAGCCAAGCTTTCGAAGATCACTGACACCTGATTCGGATGATAGTCGAAGAACGCTTGCCCCCAAGGCGCCTAAGAGGAAGCAAAGCATTGCGCCACCGAATGAAGAAGAACTCGAGGAGCTAGCACGCATGTTTGCTGATGAAGAAGAGTCGCTTTCGGATGATGAGTGCGAGGAAGACGCGCTTTGGGTGGGTGAAGGGGCGGGTCAGTGTCTCGAGGCGGGAGCATGCTTTGAGTCTTCTGTTGCTATCGAAAGGCTTCGACTACTGCTCACTCCCGTGACTCACCAGAAGAGGGTCAAAGCTGATACATTCCCAACGCGGCCTGCAAGGCGATACAGCGTGGTGAGAAGTCGCTCCACGTCTGGTGCAAATGCCGCATGAACACCAGCACTGACTGTTATTCTGGGTTTTTGGAACAGAAACTGATGGCGTCTCGTCCTCTCGACTGACTCGAGGATCCTCGACCAGAGAACTAGACTAAGAAATACAAACAATTTTGAGACGACTACGGTACTTGGACTTTACAAAACATCGTAGCATGCTATCATTTTAAAACGATTGTCTCCGCTTTTTGCGGGATATCTTTTTGGGTGGGCTTTCAGTTCTTGCCACAATTCTTGCATGATACCGGTATGGAGCACGAGGGAGGAGTTGCCCTTACTAGTTAGCAGGAGCTTCCTAGATAGCTCAGCTAGCACTGGAAGCTCTGAGCGGGCAGCACTCTCTCAGGAGCGACCAGTGGTTCTGGCAAGAGCACAAACAACTCCCACACGATGTTCGAAAGGGACGCCAGTCTGGTCCAGTCTGTGGCTACAGCGTAGTAGTAGAGAATGTGCACACCTGTCGAAGCGAAGAGGATAATTTGGAAGCAACCGGATTCGATTCCTTGCAATATCAAACAAGATCCTACGTCTGCACTCCCACGAGATTGGTCAATCGGTACCCCGAGGTTATTACGAGTACTTCACAATGCACTCCTGGACATTGGAGGAGTTTCTCGAAGCCTTTATGGAGGAGGAAGATGAGTTGGAAGCTGAAGCTGCTCTTTTCAAAGAGAACAGGGAAATATTTGCAAAAGAGTGGCCGGTCAACAAGCGTGGTAGTGATGGTGTCTGGAAGGTGTCCGCCTCAGAAATTGTCACTCAGAAGTACTTTACAATGGGAGGTTCTGCGCGATGGATGCTGGGATCCACAACAGCAGAGACAGAACAAGCAAGCGATCCGTACTAGCATTGAAGAAGAAGGTGACGTGATGGGTATCCTGGACTTTTGTTTGGGACCAAAGAGTAGCAAGGCGAAAACGCATCTGTACTTTTCAGCAGCCGCGGGAGGCATCACGACCTATTCTATGGTCAGCGAGAGTGCTACACAAATGCTCGTACACCAAGGAGGTGAGCGGGCAATTAGACGGTTGTATTCTCATGCATGTCGTCTCAGCAACCCAGCCTTCTTGGGATGGGTAGTCGAGGCCGATTACTTTTATCGATGCAAGGACAACAAATTGATGCTCGGAAAGAGAGGTACGGACCAACCAACGCATTACCCTTGCCCCGCCCATCCTTGTTTCTTTGACTGTTCCGAGCTTGAAAGGCTGGTGTCGGATGATATTGAAATACAATGTGCAAGCCGACAGCGTGGAACCAGGGAGGGTATGATGTTGTTAGAATTGAGAAGGGTCCAGATTACACTCCTCAGGGCTCATCGCAAGTCCAAGCTCCTTATCACTTTCTTTTGGCCAGGCCACCAAGTCCCATACTCATTCACTCAAACTAAAATACTTTGAACAGTTCGCTGGTTTCATCAAGGATGCAGGCCACGAAGTTGCTTCTATAGAATCGGGTTTATTGTTCCTTCGGGGTCGAGAGTCGTTGATAGATTCGGGATCGCTCATAGTAACAAGGTGACTACTGCTGGGAGATTGTCACATTTTCCGGTTTATGGCGGTGGCAACAAGAAGTGGAAAAAAGATAAAGAGTGTGAACTTGTGCAGGTTTATGAATTGGATTTGGTGCCTCTGGGGTTAACTAGCTACCCGGGCTTGAGGTTGTGAGCAACGTCCTCGAATATCAATAGGTTTGATCTCGAAGATTGCCTTGTTAGAACTCTTCCTTGGTATACCTCGAAGAGGTATTGCTGCCGTGCCGCTTCCACAAGCAAGTGTGATCCCAATCTGAACACAACAGGAGAACTAGCTACTGCAGGAAATAAATAATTATTGCAGTGCAAAAGAGCATTCTGTTGCTTATCCGCTGCCTTGGGCTAAACGCTCACCGCGGGCATCTCCATAAGACAGTAGGCAGCCATCGAGCTCAACCCTCATCGTCATCACCACTGCACCGTCTGTGCTGCACTACTGCATGATATCTGTGCGTTCGTGATGTTGGATGTTTTGCGTGCACGACACCATGATCTCAGATTCTCTTGTGCATGGCTGCTTGCGAAACATGCATCGGCTTAGTTGTGTCGTTGTGTCCCCAAGGCAAGCTGTCCACAACAGGCCAACCCTTTTAGAGTCTCTGTAAAGAGGCTCAAGAACAACTGCAAAGGCTGCGCCTTGAACTGGGCGGTACGGTAATATGTCATCGAATCGAATCACTGGTTGCAGCTTCCATCGAGCGAACCCCTGCTTCAACACAAGCTAACACTTTGGTTTTGCTCTCGAACGATCATCGGGTATTGATCGATCCTTGCCACGAAACTTTCACCTTCCACCACTTTTTTCTACTAGCTAGCCTAGCTAGTGATACGGCAGGCAATAAGAGTCGCCTGAGCCTTTGTCTCTTTGTCTATCGTCGAATCAACGGACCTCTGACCTTTCGCGTCTTCGGGCTTCAAGCATGAAGCACCATAAAGACTGGCGTGCTTGTTCCCGAATCAGCCTTGTGCGTGGCATTAATTCCCGCAATCCAACAGCTAAAAAAACTCAGAAAACAGTTGTGTACAGCGTGTTCGAGAATACTTACTATATTATAATGTTTATACTGTACCCTGATGTTTAGATAGTGTTCATGCTATTGTCGGCACTAAATCTTCAGAAATCCCTCATACATGTATGCATACTCGCATACTCCCTCCTCCAGTTTCAATAGTAGCTACTACTGGAGTAGTAGATAGAATCTGATATACTGTACTAGTCTAGTAGCAATGTTCTGAGCTTTTTAATATCAAGGTATAAGCTCAGTGAGGTTAATCTATCCAGCAAGAATGAAATAATATATCTCGGAGCTGTTCGTCTATTGTACAAAAGGGAAAAGGGGAGTCGAGGTCTTGGAATCTCACTTTTAACTGTTTTACAGGTCATTCGGTGGGCTTGTGGACTTATTCGTGAAGGCGCCCTCTCACAAACTTGGAGTTAATGGCTGGTCTTGACTTTTCTGGTGAGCAATAAGGCAAAACTGTTGCTTTAAATCACAACAGCCCTAACGTGTAAGCTGTCAAAAAGCAAAGCAGAATCTTAGCGTTCCTTCTTCTACCAGAATGACCAGAAGAGGAAGCGCAAATCTGAAAAAGACTGTAGAATTATTGGACTGTTGCCCCTGGACCCTGGACCCAACAATTATTGTAGAGCTACTCATATAAGCCCCGTCAGTACCAGCGCACCAGCAAAGTATCATTTTGAGAGTTAGAGTGACACGGGTTGCGAGGATTTAGTCCAATCGGAAAGTGCAAATCCGGGTGGAGTGTCCTTTATTTGTCATGTGTTTTGTCCTAACTGTTTTGACTATCGAGGTGAACTCATTGTGTTTCTTCAATGGTCGATGACAAAACCAGCTGCATCTCAGAGCTCACGGACCAGGTCATTAGAAACTCCTGGATTAAAACTCAGTTTTCTCATCAGAGGGGCAATGACCGGCATTTCTGGTTTCTGTAGGACGACTTACTTGATCAAGAACCTCAACGTCTTCCCTCACAATTTCTCTCCCAAATTCTCTCTCACATTGAGATACCCCAACAAACCATTCAAATAATCCACTATCATAGCTAGCTATACCAACAAGATGGCTCCTCCTGTCCGTAATATCGTGGTCGAAGAAGGTCGCTCCCTGATGGATGTGAGTGCTATGGATGTCAGCCTCATGGATGAGAGCAGTTACGATGATTTTCTGAGAGGTCGCTGCCGGTGGGAACAACAAAGCACAGCCGACAAAGCCAGCGAACCTCCTCGGTTTGGACGCGTTCGAACCCGTGATTCTGGCTGCAGCTGTAAGGCGCCTTCTGTACCTCGAAGACAACGGAGTTTCAATTCCATTGACATGAAGGAGGGAGACGAAGACGAATCCTCCGCTAGCGGTAGTCAAGTCCAAGACGCACCCGAGAAGGTCGAGGTGGAACACAGCACCAGCGCCGCAGGAAGTGAGGATCAGGAACTTGCCGAATCCATACGCCGCATGCTGACGTCCTCCATGGATGCCTCAATGTCCAAAGAAGATCTGGTGCCACCCAGACCAATTCGCCAAAGAAGCCTCACACGAAGGCAGCGAACTCCCCAAAAGACAGTGTCAGCGCCACCTAGATTTTCAGCCTATGCAGCATGACTATATATATATCACTTTAGAAATGAATAGAGATTAGCGTATTATTTACACTCTTTTACTTGCTATCGTATGGTTTGATACTGAACTACCGGTGCCTGATGTACATCGCATGGGAGGCAACAAAGACGAAACTGCGCGGTGGCATGGCTTGTTCCTTTCGCTGGATGGACTGAAGAAAAAGATCGGGTGTAAGGTGTAAGGCTGAGCTCCAACAGCCAAGGCGGCAAGTTGCAAAGGCACACGACAAAGCTCAGCTTTGTTCCAGCACAGCTGGCACCAAGATTAGAAGAGAACTGGATTCCCTCTATTTCCTCGGTTGATTGTTTGCTTGCATGTTGCTCCAGAGATTCACACAATACAAGCAAGTGAGCACGCCTGGTCTGGCTGCCTCTATGTTGTGGGTGCCGAGGCGAAATGACCAGATCACCGACTCGGGGCAGGCGCCACGAAAACAAGACTTAGTCTCTTTCTTGGTGCGAAGCAAAAAACTGGGAGGGGACCTACAGCATGAATAGCTATCTAGCTAGCTAGCTGGTCAGTGCCAACTGGCTGTAGAAGAAATAAGAGTAGTAAGGAGCGCCCTCTTCCCGATATTAGTTTTCTCGTGGAAAGCCCATGTGTGCAAGCTGGACTCCACGTGAAAGCTACATAGTAATACAAAGAATCATCGTCTATGTAGCAACAGGTTGCTATCTGCCAGCAAGATTGCACCACTAATGCATAGACTAGTTGGGACGTTCTTGTCTTCAAAAATCAGAACGCCTCTGTCGAAATGCACGCCGCCCATTGCAGGGGAATGGGAAGAGATTGAAGTTGGGGGGGAGGGGGCTCACATACGAAGCTGATTGGTAGAATACATGCAAAATATTCTACTGAGACCGAAAGTGGAATTAAGTGGAAGTGCGTGTTGTTTCTACAGCATCTAGTATTTCTCCCCTTCAAACAGACTTATCGATGCCAACCAACCCCGTAGATGCATGTATGTACAGTACCGTAGGGACGTCAAAAGCCAAACCTATGGTCTTGAGGAAATTTGACCGGTACAGGTCAAGGCAACGTCCTCGCTTGATATGCGAGCAAAGATGATAGATTTGCATGCTACGCCGTAGAACGGAGATTGAGGACCGTGCAGTCCCACAACCAAACATCGGAACTCCGGCGACTGGATGTTCACGCTGAACACAGCTGAGCCCTTGTTCTTACAGCATCGTTGAGGAGCTGATCAGCAAGAGCTCACAAATCTTCGAATGCACCTGTCGACTCGACTCAAAACTTCCTTGCCCGACCTTTGCCGAAACCATGCCAGTTCCCAGGAGTATCAGTTTTACCACGAACAATGATATGGATGTGAGTGGGTTGTGGAGCGCAGTCTCCCTCACGAAGGAGACGAACGAGGACAATAGCCTGCAAAGATTGCCCAGTTGTCGCTGGAGCTCTGGGACGTTGGTTGAGCTCAAAGACCTTCGTCGACCTCGAAGATCGTCCAGGGAAGACCTGCACAGCAACCGACGAAGAAGCCGAGTCGGTGCACACCAACTTTTGAAGCAGACGACTAGAGATCACACAAACCATCAGAGTTTCCCATCGCGTTCCTGGTCCTTGATTTCTATCGACGCCGTTCCTTCCTTGCCCCTTCGACGTGGAAGCAAAACACAAGGCTGAACTCGTAGCATACCGGAAATGGAGGCTGCTGGGAGTACTACTTGAACGGCACCGCGCCCACTTTGAGACATTCATTCATGATGAATACATTGGATGGGAGTGAAGCAATTGGTCTCGCAACACCTCATGGAGCTCGACGAGCACGGAGCACCGTGGTTGGCCAATGTGGCAACCTTTTTGCTTGTTGACTGTTGCTAAGAATACATAAGACGCATCTGAAGAAACTCAAACGATTCTTCCGCTAGAATACTAGACACATCATCAGTTGCCCCCGTACCGGTAGAGCCATAGCTGCTCGTTCAAACCTTGCACAGCCATGCGTGTCTCGATGGAATGCCCCGTTTGGAATTGCCCAAAGCTCGCTTCAGCACCTAAATGGGCTACACCCCGAGATCCACAACACCATATCAGCCAATCCTTGCCAACGAGGTCCCATCCGTGAAGCAGCTGATCCATCATGCAAATTGCTATGACTGTGTGTGTTTAGCTACTAGCTTGTTTAGCACTGGAAGATTGTTTAGCTCGATTCCTCCTGATATAGCACCAAACGATGGATATATATAAGCAATGCTTGCAAATAAGCGAAAACATCTGGAACGTTGCAGCTATCTTTTCCTTCACCCGCTCATCCATCCGTCACTTGCTCGTTCGTCTCTCCTCCTCACTCACTCACTCCTTCACCAAATTTTCCATCGATCACATAAGCCTTCATTTTTTAAATTTTATTAAAAGAGCCCCCAGAGTTTCTTTTCCTTGGGTTTTTCTTCCTGTTCGTACTTTGGTTGCGCAAAAGTCTTTTCCTTGACATCCGAAAGGAGTCGGAATCCTTGGGAGCGCCGTTCTTCAAATTCGGCCTTTTTGGCATCGCGCTTGGCTTGGTCGGCCGCCTTTTGCTTTTTAAAGGCCGAATCGTCTCCTTTGTATCCCGCTTCCATGGAATTGATGAATCCATCAAAGAGACCATTCAGACTGGTAGTACTGGTAGTGCGAGAAGGAGTGATGGAGGATGGAGCAAACGCAGAGGCCGCCACCAAAAAGAGACACAGGAACAACAGAGAACGCATCATTGTGGTTGAACTGTTGGGGTTGTCCTACTAGGGTCTATGCTGTGAAACTACTTGGCAAAGAGAAAATGCGGGGACTGATGATGAGAGCTTGATTGAGTTGCTTCTTCTTTTCAACCCATCAAATGACACGGCAACTGACACCATGGTCGAATGGTCGATGCAGATGTCGATCTTCTTTGGCGCTGACGAAGCGGAAGATCCAATTCGAATCGAATCGACATGAGATTCGATTCGAATCGGTTGAATCAATCTTTGGAAATGCCGATTGGATCAAACCTGCACCCTTGTGAGTGTTTTGACGACCACACCCTCAACAGCCAACAATGGGAAAACACAACACAACACTCTGAACCAATGGCATTGACGGAAGAACAGCAGGAGCGCATACGGCAGAACCGGGAGAGAGCCCTTGCCATTCAACGGCAGCGCAAGAAAGATCCCGAAGAGAAAGAGAGGAAGGCTACGCCACCCAGCACGGAAAAGAAGCGACCACTCGACAGCCCACACTCGGCCAACAATAAGAGGCCCAAAGTTCTTGTAGTGGACGAGGATGATGAAAACGTTTCTTTGGAACCATTCGAAGAAGGCGCATCCGATTTAGTGACGAAAAGCGACGCCAAAAAACTCTATTGCTTGCCCGAAGGGACACTGCAGTGTTGTACAGTGGTCGAAAAAGACAATCCACGCCACAAGAGTTGGTCCAAAATGAAACTCTATCATCGCAGTGAAGTACGGCGACGAGCACGCAAACGATACGGGGGACGACTGGGACTGGAGGCCGAACGAAAACGACGACAAGACGAACGATTTGCAAATGATTTGGCCAAGACCAAAAATATTTTTCAAAAGAAATAGAAAAAGTGCGTAAATGTATGCCAATACGAGCTAGCTAGAGGATAGAGAAGAAAGTTGGATTGTTGGGGCTGTATCGAATTACAGCTGAACAGCAAAACTAGTTGCTAGCTTGCATGAAACCTCCCGCTAAAATAGAATGTTGCTCCTACCGGTACCTAGCTAGCATTGGCATAGCTGTCATCCGCGCCCAAGAATGTCAACAACGTAGAGGAAGTCAGTTGACGGGCGAGTTATGCTTCTGAATTGAATCGAATCCGGTACGGTAGAACTAATGTCACGGTGTAGGCAAACCAGCAAAAGTGACCATGTTTCGCAAAGGATTCGAATGATTCAATCGATTCAGCATCATCATCTCGAGGGCTCTTGGACGCTGCTGCATTACTATGCCCTCTCTCGCTGCCGGATCTGGGACTGTCGACTCGAGTACTCTTGGACTTGTCAATAGGGATGGCATCATCTTCTCCAGTGCCAGTGGTCTTGGATGCCGCTGCTGGTGTTGGCAAAGAAGCATCGTCCTCACCGTCACTCTTGCTGAGGCCAGGCACGCGATTGCTGCTGGATCGAGAGAGAGCAAAGAGAAAAGATCAATCGATCGATCCAAAGCCCAACCTCGAGGGCCAATCAACCTGAAAAATGGAGCAGTGACCGACATGATTTTCAACACCAGATCGCCTCGCCATCCAGCGGATCGTTTCCACCCTCAGGCAGGGTTCTATCTGGAGGCTCCGCTCCCTCAAGATGGACACCGTCCCACCCACCTGTCTGACCAATGTTGCTGCGAATACCTTCGGGTGGATCGCACGGGGTAGGATCCACCTCCCTCCTCTGGCGTGGTTGTTTGAAACCCAAGGTCGGACGGCTCCTCTTGGGGGTTCGAGACGGCGTTGTTACGGACGATCTTCTTTGCCAACTTTACCCGTCTCTTCATTTCTTTCAAGTCTGCCGCTAGAAGATGATCCCTCACCAAAGCCTCCGTCTCAGAACTCTGTTCTTCGACATATTCAAGTCGTTCTTTCACCTGTTGGATCTCGCCATTGAGGCTGCTGAGGACTGCCTCGGTGTTGCTTTGCTGCTCCTCAGGGAGCCCACCAAACAGTTGCTGGCGTTGATCGGAGACTTCTGGTGGTGTATCCGGTCTGTAGGAACAGGCCACATCTGACGATGATGAAGTGGCTGCCACCCCCACCCCCAGATTCAACACTTGAGTACGATCCACTGTTCGGCGAACTCTGTTTTGGCCTTGTTCAGTGGGCTTCCACCCCTCTTCTTTTTCTTTCTCCAGGCGCTCCAACTTTTCTTTCATGTCCTGAAACTCTGAAAGGAACTTGGCCAAGTCCACCTGAGGAGGAGCCTCGGTCTGGCCGTCTTTCTTTTTGTCTGTGTGGATTGTCGCTGCTGTCGGGCTGCTCTTGGTTGTGGTGGGCGATGAAGCCTGGGGTGGCGCGATTGCCTGTGCTGCTGCAGGACCTGTCGTTCCTCCCGGCGTCGTCTTCTGTTGTGGTGAGTTGAATGGGAAGTTCATTGTTTGGAGCAAGTACAGGGCTGCTTGCTCTGGTGTCTGTTCAACCTTGAGGTTCTGCATCGACTCAAAATTTTCAACCATGGCCCGTGCGATGAGCCCCGCATGGACCACAGCTGCCGCTTTGTCAGGATCGTTTTCTGTGGTCATTCTTGCTTCTAGTTTCATGGCCCGTGCCTTTTTCTTTATGGACTCCTGCCATGTCTGGACCAGGATGCGCATCCGTTCACCAATAGACTTCCCCGTGCCGTTTGCTGAAGCCGATTGCGGGATTACCCCAATCTCCAACCCCGATAGAACTCTGTCGATAGTCCTGTCCTTGGCCCTTTCCACTTGCATGTGCACCATCGTCGACGACAACTTCGTGATGAATTGGTCCAAGCGAACACCGTCAGATGCAGGCAAAGCCTCTAAAAAGCTGATTGCACTGTCAACGCAAGCCGCCGCATGGCGTCTACCAATGATCGAAGCCATCATTTCCCCTATCAGCGGAAGCAGCAAGCCGCCAACCCCGCCAGCAGTTTGAGAGGAAACACGAATCAAGCCTGACACGAAGCTGGGCTGGGGAAGCCCCAAGCTCTGCGACTGAATCCTCATGACAGATACCGTGGTATAAAGGCAATCCTCGAACGTTCTGTGGTATTTCATCGCAACCCTGTTTCCGGTATATCGCTGGGGTATTGGCGTGAATTGGCTGATCTTCCTCTCTGGGTTGATTTGGTGCTTCAGGTGTTCCAATATGGCCGTCCATTGACCGATGGTCTCCATGTCCCCACCGAGAGAATTCCAGTCTGGAGGTTTCTTCAGCCGCTGGGTGCCGTCTTTTGGTAGTCCTGAAGCGGCAGCTGCGGTGGTATTCTTTGATCCGCCGTCTCCACCAGGCACCCCCTCAGTTTCGATTTTGCCTGCAGCTGTGGCGATTGGGGAGGATTCCTGCTTTGGTTCTTCTCTTCGTTTATCTACATTGTTCGTTGAGGTTACGATCGAAGATGGCCGCATCGCCTCCGCCGTAGCTGTGGCGATTGGGGAGGATTCCTGCTTTGCTGCAGACATCCGGCCAATTTTTTGAATGCGTTGAGCTTGCATGTCGGCCAATTCCTCAGCCATGGCCGCACGGCGCTGCATCTCATCCATTTTGTTCAGTACCGCCTCTGTCCTTTCCCGTCGTTTGGTTTCTTTGATTTCGGCAGCAGCCGCCCGCTCTTCTTCCGGAGAAGGTACTGGTGGTGCTCCTACAACTTCAACTGCCTCTTCTAACTGCTTCTCCAAAAAGGACCAGGCAGACGAAGCTGCTTCCTTTGTTGTTGTTGGGAACATATTCTTTGGTGCATGATGCGGATGCTTCAGGAATTCGGCATCCGCCTTGCTCGCCTTTCGGCATCGAATGAGTAAGTATCCAGCATCTCCTGGTTCCTTGGCGACTCCATTTGGAGGCTCAACCATGAATTCCATTCCTTGGCCAGTGCCTTTGGTCAAATTGAGATGAGACACAACAGCTCTACCTAGTTCATCGTTGGTAATGCGGTCCCAATCCTTCACAATGAAGTGCAATCCACCCACCTGGGAAAGATCGGTTGCAGGGCAATCCAGGAGAAAAGTTGATTCTGTTTCAGGCGTGTAGATTGGGTTCTTCCTGTAATATCAGAGCAAGTGTATTAGCCAACACAACTTGCGACCACAAACATCACGCAGCCAGCAGCCAGACTTACGTCTTGTTGATATGTTTTGTCTTGTGAATTTGGTCCTCGCCCATCATGACTGTGACGTAGGGATCAGAGCTATGTTTGCCGCCAATCAATAAGTTTCGTCCCGCTACAATTTCGACCACAAGGAGGACTTCTTCCGAATTTTCGCCAGTTGCAGCGCTGATGGGTGCCAGAGATTTGACCGAACCATCACTTGACTCTGAATCTGGTGGTGGTTGCGGTGAGTTTCCTTTTTTCCGAATTCGAACAGCCTCCATCGAAACCTCCATTGTCTGGCAGGGCCCCATAAGCTCCTCCCGAAGCGTTCGGGCTCTCATCAAGAACACGAAGGGCTTACTGCGCACCTTGAAGAGGAGCAGATTTCTTAGTAGCACGGCCACAAAGGGCCGCATTTTGTTCAGTACCGCCTCTGTCCTTTCCCGTCGTTTGGTTTCTTTGATTTCGGCAGCAGCCGCCCGCTCTTCTTCCGGAGAAGGTACTGGTGGTGCTCCTACAACTTCAACTGCCTCTTCTAACTGCTTCTCCAAAAAGGACCAGGCAGACGAAGCTGCTTCCTTTGTTGTTGTTGGGAACATATTCTTTGGTGCATGATGCGGATGCTTCAGGAATTCGGCATCCGCCTTGCTCGCCTTTCGGCATCGAATGAGTAAGTATCGAGCATCTCCTGGTTCCTTGGCGACTCCATTTGGAGGCTCAACCATGAATTCCATTCCTTGGCCAGTGCCTTTGGTCAAATTGAGATGAGACACAACAGCTCTACCTAGTTCATCGTTGGTAATGCGGTCCCAATCCTTCACAATGAAGTGCAATCCACCCACCGGGAAAGATCGGTTGCAGGGCAATCCAGGAGAAAAGTTGATTCTGTTTCAGGCGTGTAGATTGGGTTCTTCCTGTAATATCAGAGCAAGGGTATTAGCCAACACAACTTGCGACCACAAACATCACGCAGCCAGCAGCCAGACTTACGTCTTGTTGATATGTTTTGTCTTGTGAATTTGGTCCTCGCCCATCATGACTGTGACGTAGGGATCAGAGCTATGTTTGCCGCCAATCAATAAGTTTCGCCCCGCTACAATTTCGACCACAAGGAGGACTTCTTCCGAATTTTCGCCAGTTGCAGCGCTGATGGGTGCCAGAGATTTGACTGAACCATCACTTGACTCTGAATCTGGTGGTGGTTGCGGTGAGTTTCCTTTTTTCCGAATTCGAACAGCCTCCATCGAAACCTCCATTGTCTGGCAAAGCCCCATAAGCTCCTCCCGAAGCGTTCTGGCTCTCATCAAGAACACGAAGGGCTTACTGCGCACCTTGAAGAGGAGCAGATTTCTTAGTAGCACGGCCACAAAGGGCCGCAGCTCGTTTGCGTCCTCATCAAGGATTTCATTCAAGATTGGGATCATCGCTGATACCCGGGCAGCGGCCTCTCTCACAGCCTTCTTGGAGGAACCCGCTTTTTGACCCATGGAATTAATCTCACATATCAGAGAGAAAACGTGACCAACTTCTCGATTAACCAAACGAATAGTGCTCCCCGTCTTCATATTGTAGTATGTCTTGTAGTGCGCCAACGTTTTGCTGTCTCCCAATTGTATTCCCGCATACCGGTATGACATTGTTTTGCCGCCGTAATCCAATTGTATTCCCGCATAGACTAAGTGCTGATCCTTGGGAGGGATTCCTTCTCCTGTTTTGAGGAATTGCTCCGTCTCGATTTTTTTCTTGAACTCTGCAATGGTGTCATTCCAGGTGAAGTTATGGATGGTAATCGTCTTTCCCGTCAATGTCTTGACAAGGATTGTGTTGATAAGAGGAACTAGATGAATGGTGCTTCCCTTTTGTATATTGTAGTGCGCCAATGTCTTGCTGTCTTCCAATTGGTTTCCAGCGTAGAATAAGCCCTGATCCTTGAGAGGGATTCCTTGCTCATTATGAAGCTTGCTCTTACACTCTGCGATGGTCTCATTGTAATTGGAACTCTCAATGATGTCTACGGTTAAGCCACTCAAAGTTTTGACAGTAATAAAATCTTGCTCGTACCCATGAGAAAGGATTAACAGATTGAGGACACTGCCATCTTGGATGTTGTAGGATTCTACGGAACACCTATCTTCTAGCTGCTGTCTTGCGAAGAAGAGGCGCTGCTGGGTGACAGGTATACATTCGTGGACCTCTAGTTGTTTCTTGATAACCAATATCGCATCGGAAGGTCGAACGAATGCTTGGAAGGTCCCGCCCCCGAACGTCTTGACAACTATATGCAAGGTTGTTTGGCCATCTGGAGCGTATCCCCCGATGGATTGAAGATCTTGGCTTGGCCGGTCTTTGGGCTTTGTGGCATCCTTCTTTCTGTCCATGCTTGCATGAGTCCTACCGTACGTACTTGGGTCTATGGATTCTTGTGCGAATTGGATTGGATCGCTCTGTTCGGCGTTGTTGTTGGATCTTCCAGTCCAAGAAGACGGCACGGCTCCTGCTCTACACCGTACCTGTTGAGCCACCACTGGTAATCAATACTTAGGGCGCTTCGGAACAGATTTATGCGCTGTGGGAGGAGAAGAGAACCTGATCGCCACAGCACATCATCTCACATGTGCCATTGCATGCAAAAGCTTTTCAAGGGCCCTTCGACTTGACTCGACTCCCCTCAGATAGAAGCGGCAAGCGATCCCCGACTGACTTTTCCCCCCGACTGGGGCTGTACCGGTAGAGATCGTACCGTAAAAGTATATCCCTGAGGACTGGTCCTATCCAGCTTAAGGTGGTCGCTCCCAGGATGTAAGCCAGCATAAAGCTGTAAATAATAATGACGTATAGTTTGTAGCGATCTTTTGCATATGAACGGAATTTGGAATCTCGAAAGTTCGTATTCTCGCTGGATAGATAATTCCATCGAAATTCGCGCTATTTTAGAGGCAGTTCTATCTTCACCGCCAAATTTCGAAGATCGCGCACCGCTTTCCTTATGTCTTTGAGTCCTCGTCGCGCAAGGCGAGGTAATTGAATCCAATCCAACGTAGTAGCCTTTGGATGTCTACATTCTCGTAGGAATATCAGCAATGGCTCGAAGCACATTATTGCCTGTTTCGCGAGTTTGCGAGTTTGCGAGACCTCACGAGATGGAGGCAACACCCACACCACGCACGAAATGGAAGCCATCCACTACCACAGAACAAGCCAGACTTGCTACTAGTGAAGGTGGATGGAATGGCCTTGCTGGAATAAATGATAGTTGTGTCAGCACCGGGAGATCAACTAGAAATGGCAATAGTGGCACCAACAAGCACAGGAAGAGGATTCTATTTGAGGAAGATTTCCCTGCAGAGGAAGCTGCCACTACAGATGAGGCAGAAGAAGCTACGAGTGAAGAAGAATGCTCTGAGCTGGAGACTGCCACATTCAATACAAAGGCCAGCAGTCGTCTTCTATTGGAAACTAGCCAACTTGAACAGCTGGTGGCTGATTTTGCGACGTGCCCTCATTGCGACTTTGACGATCAGCCGTTACCGTTACTTTTGAAGATCCACAACTGCGGTATTGTGTCCACATTTCGGCTGGAATGCCCCAATGAAGAGTGCAACTACACGTACGAATTTCCTGCTCCCGCAAAGACGACAATGCATGCCGACGACAAGAAATACGAGAGAAGCACCAACTATCAGCTGAACGTATTGTTCGTTCTTGGGATGATTGCGAATGGTAACGGTGGCGTCGAAGCCGCAAAAATGCTTGGATTATTGGGTCTACCGAATGATACAACAATGGCGGGCAAAACATTTCCAACGGTAGAGCGAAGGATTGGCCCCGTTTTGCGGGAATTGAGGGACGAAATCCTGATGGAAAACCTGGACGCTGAAGTCAGACTATCAACCACGGAAGAACACTATTTGGCGTGGAAACTGTCACTCACAGAACAGCATAAAGACCATCCCGTCAAAGTGAAAGTGAAGGGATCGTATGACGGCGCTTGGCAGCAAAAAGGTTCCGGTCTTCTCTACAATTCATCGTCTGGCCACGGTAGTCTTGTCGGTGCCCTTACCCGAAAGGTCATTGCATTCGGTCAAAAGAGCAAGAAGTGTACCCGGTGCGAACGGCATGAAAAGGAACATCCTGACGCTGATACCCGTCCTGATTACCCGGATCACTATTGTCCCCGCAACCATGATCAAACGGATTCGTCAGGTGCGATGGAGGCGGCATTGGCTTTGGAAATTGCAATCGACCTATATGACAATAAAGGCATTATTATGGAGCTTCTTTGCTGTGACGACGACTCGTCCATTCGGGCCGATTTGAAGTGGTCCAACAAAGACTACCTAATCAACAACAACACTACCGTTTTACCGCAGGTGCCAAAGACGAAAGGAAAGAATAAGGGTGAGCTACAAGACTGTCCTGACAAAGGGAAATTACCCGGCCATATTCCCGAGCCAAAGTTTTGTGCTGATCCCAACCACCGCCGCAAACAGTTGACTGGGGAACTCATTCGTTTGGATTTGGCCAAAGTAGCCGACAAGAAGACAATGACGAGGTTGGATTCCATTCGACTTGGCAAGAACTACGGCTACATGGCTCGCACACTCAAAGACCGCGATGAATCCGAGTATGTGGATGTCGCTTGGGCCTGTTTGGAGCACCACTTTGATGCCCACGACAAATGCGGTGCTTGGTGTGCTCGGTGCAAGGCAACAAAGGAGGAGCAAGCTGCAAGCAAGAAGTATTACCGCGACAAGAAAGAAGATGCGGAGCTTTACGAGCTGCTACGCAAGAAAATGGGGCGCTACTGTGAGCTTGAACGATTGAGAGAGATTGCCCACGGCTTGGACACGAATGCAAACGAGTCATTCAACAGCGTCTGTACCTGGTTCGCACCCAAGAACAAAGTCTTTTCCGGGTCCTGTTCGCTAGCCAATCGTCTTGCCTTTGCCGTTGGCATCGTCTCCCTTGGATATGTTGAGTTTTTCAACCGTGTTTTCCTAAAGCTTGGCATAGATATGACAACCGACGTTCAACATTACCTCACCGTCAGGCAGAACCAACGACAGAAACGATTGGACCGGCTCAAGACTCCGGAGTATAAGCAGTACCGGGCGGAAAAGAAGAACGAGAGAATTCGGTTGGAAACGATTGCCACGAAAAAGGCTTGGGCGAAACGACACAAATGCTACCGCCCGGGCATGAATTTGGATCTTCCGCAAGAGCAGCTTCCTGCTGAGGCGGCACGTATCGATGCCGAGAATGCCGCAAAACGGCCTGCAAAGAAGAGGAAAACGACAAAGACGACGACTAGCAAAGGCAAGGTAAGAAGGGGCATGTTTCGACCAAATCCAAAAGGTGCGACAAGACAGGCGATTCCAAGGCTACCACTGAATATGACAGGTTGACTGGGAAGCTACTATCAGAGCTGGCTGCCAGCACTCCAATTGCAGCTTCTATTCCAGGTGCTAGTACTTCTAGCCAGCCAGCAAGCATCCCAGAAGCTGAAATTGAGGATGAGGTAAGCACAGAGGAAACAGCTCAAGATTTGGCTCAAATGGTTGAGGATGGAACCAAGGATTTGGCTGATTTGGAGTGCATTCCCTTTCATGCCCTTGATGGAGACAATGAGGAAGACAATGTTGGATCTCTTGATGATGATGATGATGATGACAGTGATGCTGGCAGCAATGCCATCTAGATATATACCTTGCTAGCTGCTAGCTAAAACGTAGTAGTGCTTTCTTTGTAATGAAGACTGTTGCCATGGCGAGTGCGAGAGCGAACGTCCCGTACAATGATGCCATATCTGAATGTACATACGAATGAAACGGCGAAGATTCGAATTCATGGCCGTTGTTTCATTTCTGCGAAGAATACTCACATTCAAATTTCAGCCCTCACATTTTTGGGTGAGCACCGTGACTGGATAGCGCAGTCCTATAGTAAAACAGTACAAAGAACACGTTTCAGCCGATTTCGGAAATAATTCACCCGGTGAAACAAAGATTCCCTTTTGAAAGCTGAGAACAACAAAAACGCCATTACAATCGAAACACCACTCTCGGTGTTAGAGAGCTCATTCTCTGGCTGCCAGCTGAGTGTATGGCCCTGCAACCATACATTTATCGCCTTGTAATAGTATAAGGAGGAGAGTAGTAGCTGGTTGCAGGGCCATAGCACCATCGGGCATTGAGATTTATCCTCTCGAAGCAGCAGAATCGAAAAGTTGTCACACCTTCTGTCGACGAAGAAAGACAACAGGTGGACCGGAATAGAGGACCCCTACCGATCGCCAACAGCTTCGTACTACTATTAGCAACACGCCTGCTACTGGATATAGTCAGCAGCAGGCATCATACAGCGATTCCAGCCCACCTTTTAGCAGCAGGTCGATCGTTCTTTGTTGTTGGTTGTTCTCCGTGATATTTCGCGATAATCTCGGTGCGCGCACCAATATTTATTCACAGCTTTTGGCTGGCTTACATCCTGGGAGCGACCACCTTAAATGACGTCCGTTCGTTCGCGAAATCGAAATAACTGCCGAATTCGGAAAGGTGACCTCCAAATCCACACGTTCGGCGAACCGCAGAAAATGTTTATAGTAATAAAGTGGAGCTGCGGTTCGCCGTTCGTGTGGATTTGGAATTGGCTGGAATTCGCGTAGGACCAATCAGAACTCATTATCTCGCACTATCCCCAACTCTAGCGAGTTTCGAAAATCAGAACTCATTATCTCCCACTATCCCCAACTCTAGCTAGCGAGAATGAATCGCTTGGTAGCCTTCTGTGGCTCGCCCTGCGACTCTCTTTTTGTTCGCGAACGACCTATCTGCGAATGTGGTTAAGAATGAAAACACATACGCGAGGCGGAATGGAAATAAATGTGTTTCCTGTGCGAACGTACGAACCACATGAATGTGGTTAGGACCAGCCCTGAGGTGCGTTCCTGACCAAACTCCATGTGTGTCCTCCGTGCATACGCGAAACACATTTATTTGCAGTGGATGGCATGCTTGCCCCTCAAGCCAAGACTCTCTTACAACGCCTTGCTTCTGCTACTGCCTCCAAAACTCAATTTTCCTACTCTCAAATGATGTTCTTCCTGCAGACCCGTATCTCAATTGCCCTTGTGAAAGCTACCCATTTATGTCTCCGTGGATCCCGCAAAGCCAAACCCTTTGCCCCCCGTAATGGTCCTCAATTTCTTGCCCCTGATCCCACAGAACCTAGTCCTGAATTTCGACTGTTCTTTGCTTAAGCCTGGCCCCGGCTGGCTTCCGTAGATAATTTCCTTACTCTAAACCCCCCTTATTATATTTATTTTCATCGATTTATTTAGGCCTACGTATCAAGATTTCATTCCTATCCATGTGACACA